GTGTGTGTGTGTGTGTGTGTGTGTTTTAAGTGAAAAATACATTTGCTCCAAAGGGCTCTTTGACTCTCTTTGAGGGCATTAATTAATTCTTCCTTTGACCTTTCGTCTTTATTTTCTAATTCCTGAATTTTTTTCTTCAGGGTCTTTTTTTTTTTTTTTTACGTTTAATTTTTTTTTCCAGGTTTTCTTTAGATGTTGAGTGATTCTTGGTTGCCTTTTTTTGTATTTGGGATGGGATAGTAGAGGGGCTTATTATTGATAGTTTTTTTCTTTATGTGAGTGATAGGGACTTTGCTCATAAACTTAGGGCCGTTCAGAAAGCAGTCTGTGGAAGCTTTGCTTAGGATCCAACACCCAAAGCTATCTGCTTGAATTAATAGAAGAACCCTTAGTTATTATTCTCCTTTTCTTATTCTTGTACAGGAAACCCCTGACTGGTAAAGGAGTGAAAACCTAGTGGACATTCTTGAGTTTCATAAACAGACTCTATACAGTTTCATTTGATTTTAGACCTATTCCTTATTCCCATCCACCAGCTTACTTCCTTCACTTGAGGCTTCCCTGTGTTGGGGTAGGATAAGGTGGGCTTTTTTTCCTTACTTAGGCATTCTTTTATAATGTTGTATTGTGTGCCTAATGTCCTAGCAATTTGTTTGAAATGGGATTTCTAGTTAAAAATGAATGTAAACATCTTCACTGAAGACGTTTTATTAAAAAAAAATAAATGCATGAACATAAGAAAGGAAAGAATGGGTGAAGTGGTGAGCCAACAAAATTTGGAAATTATAGAACAGAAGGAGATACTTGATTGTGAGAATGGGGGTGAGGATAAACTTTTCCCTATACTCTGTAAACATAGCACCTCTGTGACCATTGTGTGTGTGTTTTCCCCATACACTAAACAAGCAAGCAGTTCTTCAGTGGATGGTACCTGGGTGTCCTAATTCAATCCAGTTCAAACATTATGTATTTRAAGGTATTGTCATATTCTACAGGTTGAGAGCTCAGTCTCACAAGATCAGTGAGAGTCCAGACTTCTGGAACTATCGCTGGATGGGCTACAAATTAATGGTTCCCTCGACCCACTCCTTGTGTTACAAAGGATRCAGATGAAGAGATGTATGAGGAGAGGTTGTGTCGGAAGGGGCTCCAAGCTCCCATGCCCTCTCTGTCACTCTCCAGGAACTTCCATGTGTTCAGCTTTTCAACCCCCCCACCCCCACCCCCTGCCCCCAATACTCCTAGATTTTTGTGGCAGTTTCATTACTTAGGCATGATTGATTATATAATTGACCTTTGGTGAGTGACAGTACCTTCAGGCCTCCCCTCCCTCACTTGGGGTTGGGACTGAAAGTTTGAGCCTTCCAATCACAGGCTTGGTTCTTCCATGCCAATCACCATCCTGAAGCTATCCAGGAACTCACAGCCATGATTAAACTCATTAGCATAAGAGGACTTTTAACACTGTTGTTTTCTAAGAAATTTAGGAGTTACATACCAGGAAAGGGGGCTAAGACCAAATATATATCTCATAGTATCACAGTGACTTAGYAGATTTGAAATATCTGTATGAGAAACTGTTATAGTAGTGTCAGGTCTATTCCAGTATAAGAGAATACTGAAAAATTAAAGAAATGAATTTATATATCTTCAATGCTGAAAATTCACGGCTCTCTTTTCCTGTTCATCTCCAAAATAGGGAAGAGTCTTCTCCAGGCAATCTAACTTCAGAGGAGACCTAAAGATAGTGACATTAGTGGGATTTCCAGTTAAACAGCTTAGCCTGTATTTCTTCAGTTGTGCCTCATAATTTGACAATCTTCCTAAATAGCTCTGTTGTGTGTCCCAGATATGAGTATCTGAAATACACTTCTTCAGAAAAGAGTGGCTTAAAACTAACAAAGTTATTGGGAAGAATCAGATTATGCAAATCAAAGAAAACTTAAAACTACATTGATCCCCTGAGAGTGAYAGTTTTCTATAACCATGAAATAAAAACCCCATACGCTATAAAATTATACCTTAAAAATTAAAATAAACTTTTGGAAACTAAAAATGTGAGAGCAGGGGGGGGGAAATCCACAGTAAATGACTTGAAAGATAAAGAAGTTTCCCAGAAAGTAGAGGGGCAAAGATCAGAGACAGGGAGTATGAGAAGAAACAATCATTAGAGAATTGGTCCATGAGGTCTTTCAGGTATGAATTTGCAAATGAATAGGCCATTGAGTGGCTGTACAGTGGAGTGGATTTTWAAAAAGTGCGGAGAGAGAGAGACACTGGAAAACTTCAGAACACCAGGACAGAAGGAAGATCTCTAGAAGCATCCACACTGAGTGGGGGAAAGGATCAGTGTGAGGATAAAGATATTTTCAGAAGTGCAGTGTCTCAATACTTATCTTCCCTGCATTCTTCTTTCAGAATGTATGGGAGTATGAAAACAAGGTTAATTGAAGAGGAGGAAGACAAGGATATCTACTACAGGATGAAGAAATACGGAACTGGTGGATGCTAGCRAAAGTATAAACTATCAGATCTATTGGCCCTTCTCAAGAGGGAGATCCCCCAAAGAGACCTTTTTCTGATCTGTGTGCTAAAGCCAAAAAAGGAACCTATAAGCAGTCATTTAGGTGGCCATAGTGGACCTGGACTATTTCTGCTGACAATCAAGAAAGGAGCTTCTTACCKCTAGGTGTCCTGTTCTCAAAGATAAGCATAGTTAGTGAAGAGAGGCAAGCCAGGATGTGCAGCAGTTGCACTGGGTAATGAAAGGACAGTATGACAGATATGTACCAGAAGTAGAAGGTAAATGTCATTAATTGGAATATATCACAATATTTAAGGGCAGTCTTTAAGGGTAAACATGGATCTGAATTGACATCTTGAGGGAAAAGTTGGGAAAACTAGTAGAATGTTAAATTAGTGACAGGTACTTTACAGAGAAAATAAAAGCAAAGGCAACAATTTTTAATCATGGGGCAAGTAGGAGATTGTGCAAGAAATAAAGTAATCACAGTTTCACAGTTTACCACATGATTTAGTTGTTAATTGCATTTACAGTCATATGTAAACAGAATGCTCCTCTGTCAAAAGATAAGGTGGCAACAAATTTTAAAGGTCTTGTCTAGAATTGGGCAAYACTTACTTCTATAAAGCATCGGAAGTATTCCAGTAAGCTGAGCAGAAGAGATTGGTTTATAGTCAGAAGAGGGCTGGAGACAAAGAATAGAGTGGACTTGCCCTATGGACGTTACTTTCTTTATAAGGCAGGGAGAGGGACATAGAACAATAGAAAAATAATTGATAGCTTAATGTCAGTTTTTTTGTTTTGTAAGAATTAAAGCAAAGGGGACTTCATTTTCATCTGGTTTCATTGTCATTGACTTCGGCCCTTGGGAAATCGGTTATTATCTCCTAACTTTTTGGAAGGTCGGGWAATAATTGAGTTGTCTTGACTTCTTTTTGAAATTTAACTTGTCCATTTGGGGTTTACTGTAAGAGCTTAGTCCAAACCAGTATCRTACTGTAATTTTTATTTAACACATCTAGCTCGGTAATCATAAACTGGGAGTGATTTTGTTCCTCTCAGGAAACACTTGGTAGTATTTGGAGATATTTTTGATTGTCATAACATGGCAGGTAGTTCTGTTGAGATCTAAAAGGATAGGGGCTGGGGTTGTGGCTCAGCGGTAGAGCGCTCACCTAGCATGTGCTAGGCCCTGGGTTTAATCCTCAGCACCACATAAAAAAAAATAAAGATGTTGTGTTCAACTACAATTAAAAAATAAATATATTTTTTTTTAAAAGATCTAAAGGATAGAGGCTACAGATGCTGCTGACCATCCTACAGCACACAGGGCAGCCCCCTTTAATAGAATTACCTTCTTTAGAATGTTGTGCCAACAATGAGAAACTAACCAAAACTGTGATATAATTTTGTTGGAAGAATGGAAAGATGAGAAAGAGTGTGAAGTGTGAGAATAGTTAATCCTTCGTTTTCTATAATTGAAATCAATAGAAAATGTCCCAAACTAAGAAAATAGACACATTGCTTTTTTTTTTGAAAGAGAGAGAGGGAGGGAGGGAGAGAGAATTTTTTAATATTTATTTTTCAGTTTTTTCGGCGGACACAACATCTTTGTTTGTATGTGGTGCTGAGGATTGAACCCRGGCCGCACGCATGCCAGGCGAGCGCCGCCTGAGCCACATCCCCAGCCCAACAGTGGTCTGTTTTTATAGTTCAGTTTTCCACAATTGTAATGGACTATTTATATTCTAATCTGAGCATGCACAGATCAGGGTTGAACCCCAGAGTTCATAAATAATTTTAAGTGGTCATTTTCTAGAGCTGTTGTCCCTCTACTATCTCTAGTGCTATCTCCCTAGTACTTTTGCTTTCCCTGGGGCTCCCTGGCTCCCCTKTTTGGTTTTAGGCTAGAAAACCATGCTGTATATATACCTCATAGAACTGCCCATATCTGGGAACAGCCAGGCAGAGGAAAGACAGAAAAATCAATGGAGATTGGCCTTACCATTTTATAATCAAAATAGCTTTTGTAATTGGAAAGGAAGGTTCTTAAAAGACCTTTAGTTTTCATGCGAAGATTAAACAGATAATGAAACATACTTTTTAGTGAATTATATGAATATATTTGCATATATTCTTGGAAATGTTACATAGATATGGGAAGAAATCGTAAAAGTTGTTTCTTTGCTCACTTTAATTTGTCGATAGCTCTTAAGTTGATTTCTATCTTGTAAACAGAAGATATATAAACTCTTAAATTTGTGAGTTACCTATGWTATCTCCTTCCTCTTTGTCTCCCTTTTTAAGACTTATCTTCCCCATGGTAATTTCTTCCAGATATTGTTTGCTTCCTTGAACAGGACTGCTCTTGGTCTCTTTTCTAAGTTGGTGGGTCAGGGGTGAAGCAATTAAATAGTTTAAAATAAATTGTTATAGTTTGTAAATGTAATTTTTTTKTGTGTTTTGTTTTTGACAGCCGATTTATTTTGCATATTCCCAGCGAGGAAAGAGACAATGCAATCCGAGTGTGTTTTCAGATTGAACTTGCCCATTGGTTTTACTTGGATTTCTACATGCAGAACACACCAGGATTACCTCAGTGTGGGATAAGAGACTTTGCAAAAGCTGATATCCTTTTCATTAATATGACTGTCTTTCATTCTTGTTAATAAAATATTTCAGCACAAATTTCTTTTTGCTTGTCTTTGAGACTTTTAACTTACTGGATAATATATCCTTGACTTGTAAATATTGTCAAATATACCTAGGGATGTAGCTGTGTGGCAGAAGGCTTGCCTAGCATCATTGAGGCCCTGGGTTGCCAAAAAAAGTTTTTTKTGTGTGTGTATGACATAATTTAGTAGTCTTATTTCTACATTAGGACTCCTTAATGTACATTGATTGGAAATAAATTTTGGCTTTTTTGTAAATRGCCTATTTTTATAATTGATCTGTTTTTACCTGATTCTGACTGTATCATTTAACTAGGTAATCTTTAAAGAGATGACTTTTCCAATTTATTTAGAAATTTCTTAAATAATTACTGAATATTTACTATGTGCCATACAAGTTAATAATCATGAGTTCTGCAGCCATGTTCCCTCTGTTAGTATCCTGTCTTTCCTRTTAACCAGCTGTGTATATTTGGGCAAATTTTGGGACTCTTCTKTACCTCTGTTTGCTCTTCTGTGGATTGGTCATAATCTTATGGCTTTTCTTCAATAAGCACTCAGTGGTGTGGATATTTAAGATGCTTGAATTCTTTCATCAGTCTAACTTCCCTCTGTCCTTCTCTTCAAAGTACTGGTTAGTCCAGTAATGAATATGTAAGACTCAAAATAATTTGGTTTGTGATTTAAGGAAATCAATTGTCAAGAATTTTAATAAAAAATTAGAAATGATGGTTATCAATTATGGCATGTTCTAAGCTTTTTCAAATTAAATGTATTATCAAATAAAAATGATACAAATTTCTGCTATCATGGTTGAATTGAAGTACTCTTTTTTAAATATGAGGAGGGTAAAAGATTTATGGGAAGATTGATGTCTTTTTATTACTTGTTCATTATGGACTTGGGCAACAACTTAACAGATAATTTTCTTTCTTTTTTTCTTCTTGATTTCATGAAGGTYGTGTTTAGTTAAGGGTGGAAGGGACATTTAGACCATAAGCAAGTAAACCCATAAATAAGGTGTTTTTATGAGTACTACAAAGATGGTGGAAGAGTGATGTGATTAGAAATGGCTGATACTAAGGGACTGGGATTACTTTAGCTAAGGGTCTCTCAGTGTTGGTGTTATTAACATTCTGTTTTAGCTTTTGACTTTTTAAAAATTATCATTTACATAACAGAATTTGCTTTTTTAAAAGTGTACAGTTAGTTGTTCTTAGTATGTCATAGATATGTGGAATGATCATTGTTATCTAATTCCAGAGCATTTTTATCACCCTATGGTGGAAAAAGCCAATTTATTCCCTTCTTCCCTCCCCATGCCATTCATTCACATCCTGGCAGCTGCTGATCTGTTCTCTATCTTTAGCAAATACTTTTTAACTGTAATTGGCAAATGCATTTTGAATAGTAGTCAGTTGGTTCAGTCAATTTGTTTCTTTGTGAGGGTGTTGGAATAGGGAAAAATTGAAAAATGAAGCACATAGTTTCCAAATTTAGTTGGTTAATTTCTCATTTAATATTTTTATCCCTTTTTTCTTTTTCTTTTTTTTTTTTTTTTAATTTGAGTCAGGACCTTGCTGTCTCCAGATTCCTGCTCTCAAATGATCCTTCTCAGCCTCCACAACAGCTGGGACTCTAGGCTTGTGCAACTACATCCAGTTTGTTTTTCTTTTTAAATAAATTTAATGGATAGAAAAGTTAGATAATTTTTATGATGGAAGTTTCATCTTGTGGGGAGATGGTTGTACCTTAAAAGTACTAGTAACAGCATAGAGAAAAGGAARAGAAAACAACAAAACTGGATATGTWTCCTSCTTATAGATAACCACTGCAAGTTATCTATGTTATTAGGGTCTTTTTACATTAGTTTCTCTATGGTTAAGTTTAAAATGGAAAAAATATCATTCAAAATTTATGCTTTGGTTAGATTTTTTAAAAATCTGTGATGACTTTGTAATACATAAATAAGGACTTTTACTACACATGTAAAGTAGGACCTTTATTGGGAAATACCTTTCAGAATCTTAGAAAGCCCCTCTGGAACCACAGGTGTTGTGGGATGGTTAATGTTATATCCAAATTTTCATCTTTTTTTTTCTTCCCCAAGAGAAGGGAATAATTTTATTGAGATTAGCTTTGTGCCCATCTTTTCATTTTGGTGTTATCATAGATAGTTGACTTTGGGATTTGCCAAARGCGTTTTTGGTTCTTGTTAGAGCTATAAAGCCAGGACATATTTTACAATACAAAATTGTAGGACTCATAAAATTCCAGTTTAATTAAATGAATTTAATGTTATATGTTTGCCCAAACATCTTGTTTAATGTTAACATGCTTACTTAAAGGTTCTTTTGAGTTTGACATTTCTTATACTACCAATTCTACTACCTTTTCTTAGTCTGTTACAAAAATTCCTGTGTTATGTTGATATCTTTTGACCCTAATGCAAGTGTACAATTTGGGCTTTTCTCTATATCCTAATGCATATATATTAAGTTTCTTCTGTTTTTAGTAACCCACAGTAARTTTAAGTAGTTCTAGTACAAGTATGGTCTCTGAAATTAAGTGCTAGTATTTCATATATGTGGCCTTGTGAATAATTGAAAATATGCTCATATTATATGTCTTATATTAACATTAAATTGAAAATACAGAGAAAACAAGTTTTTACAGAGGGTTTGGGAATCCTTAAATATAAATTATAATTTTCACCACACTTTTTGTAATTAAGAGGATCACAGTGATGAGGTTTTTGAAGGCACAGAATATCAGAAAGCTGAGCATACCATTTCATGGTTTGGGGTTTTGGATCTTTTTTCCCCCTAGTACTTTTGAAGGCACAGAATATCAGAAAGCTGAGCATACCATTTCATGGTTTGGGGTTTTGGATCTTTTTTCCCCCTAGTACTTTACATTGTCCAATTTTAGGATAGCTTAATACAAAGTTTCTTTTGAAACTTGCTATACATTCCTTAATACCCAGATTTACCTTCCTCTATAATACTTAGTAAATCTAAATCTTTAAAATGATTTCTCATTATAAAATCAATACATATATATGTTTAAGAAATAGAAAAGTAGAAATTAGTGTGTACATCCTAGTTCTACTTTTTAGAATTGACTGCTTTATTTTTTCCTTCTCTTTCTTCCTTTTAGCAGTGTGCATGTACTTGCTTCCTTTTAGCAATGTACTTGTGCTTCTGCTTCTTGCTATCAGTTTCAGAGTCTGTTGACTCTGATGTGATAAATATTTGAGATGTGGATTCCAAGTTCATTTGTGTTAACTCAGGGATCTGGGACTCTTAAGTATTCAAAATTTACTTTTTCTAGGCTAAATGGAGATATTAACAGTGATTTGTTCAAGAGAAAACAAATGTGGAAAAAAGGGTTAAAGTGAAGGTTTGAGTAATTTCATATAAAATACACAGTTGACTTAAATAGGTCTCTTTCTGTAAATAATTTCTCAAGCTGTATTAAGGGAGGAAGTAGCTTCCTTAACACTTATTTATACTCTTCAATCATTGTCCATTTTTGCTGCCTCAAGGTGAAGATGTGGAAAAAATTTTGGATGAATGGAAGGAATATAAAATGGGAGTACCAACATATGGTGCAATTATTCTTGATGAGACACTTGAAAATGTGAGTGTAATAAAAATAAGATTTTTTTAGTGAAATGGTCATCAACTGTCAGTTTTTAGCCTATTAACATTTGTTATATAGTATTCTGAATTAAGAATGAATGAATCTTAGATGTTTAGTACTTGAAAGGCCAAATTTTCCATGTTTTATCTACATTCTGTATTTTAAGATTTTATATTTACTGCARTTATAGCATAGTGAACATTGTTATTTCATTTTTGAAAAAAATATTTTTAAATACAATGCTTTCCTTTGCACTAATAGTAGTACATTTAGACTCATGGAAGATACCTATACCAAATGAAATGCTACATGAAATTATTGGTGCTAATAGAAAATCACCTTTGATTTTAGAAAAGAGCATAGAAAAGGGGGAGTAAGTTTGATTTTTATTTCTGCTTGTATTGTAGGTACTACTGGTTCAGGGGTACTTAGCAAAATCAGGCTGGGGATTTCCAAAAGGAAAAGTAAATAAAGAAGAAGCTCCTCATGATTGTGCTGCTAGAGAGGTAAGTTATTGAAGTTTGAAACAGTAAATTTGGCTCTTAGTTTCCAAATGTTTTTAAGCTTTGTTAGAGATATTCTTGGACAGTCTTAATACTCTGTCCAAAACTTGAGTACATGAGTTAACTTTTGATRTAACCAGCAGTTGTTTTGTCTGCATCTCTCTGTTGTTCTCATGTGTTTCCATTTTCTTTCATTGTTTATTTTTAAACTTATCTCTTTTGCTTCTTTCTTTATGATGATATATTTTCCATCTTTGACTTAACAATTGGATTGGCAACTGGTAAAACTTTTTGATTATTATATTCCTTGTCTTGTTTTATAATTTTAACTTTTAGACAAGTGTGCAATTCAGGGTTTTCTAAGAAATTGTATTTGTTTCTCAAAAACCTGTTGCAAATTATCCATTTTTTTTTTAAGTCTGTCACCAGCTAGCTTTGTCTATAGGACCTGAAGTTTAGAATGGATATCTCAAATTTGTTCTTACTTAAAATTCTATTTTACCAGTTAGCTGTAGTCCATAGTAGTCTCTGAACTTTAATATCAACAAATGTTATTATCATTCATTGGCATTAATTAATTATACTTTGAGTACTGTGTACTACCCATTTATTTATTTTTAGTTGTTCATGGACCTTTATTTTAATTATTTATATGTGGTGCTGAGAATCAAATTCAATGCCTCACACATGCTAAGCAAGAGTTCACCACTGAGCTACAGCCCTAGCCCCAGTTTTTTATTCTTTATCACAGTATAATTTATCCTTAAGATTTGAGAAGTTGACCTGAAGGAAATATGATATAATTGAAAGAAGACTGGCTGAGGAGCAGAAAGACTTTTATTTCGGTATAGGCTTTGTTACTTAATAGACTAGAGTCTTTGGGGAAGTCATTTAACCTCTGTAAAATGAATCTGTTTATTTATTTATTTATTTGGCACTGGGAATTGAACTCAGGGGCACTCAACCACTGTGCCACATCCAAATGAATTTATTAGCCACATCTAAATGAATTTATTAAAGAGAGTCACTCTCATGGGTTTTTCATAACTAGAAGTATTATTCTTGAGGAAAAAAAACTAAAGTGATAGTGATTTCGAGGTTTTTTTTTTTAAAGATGGTAATATGGATTTGGGGGCATGTTTTATTAGAAGCCATTGCCTTATATGTTTTGTAGTAGTGTATATTGCCTAGTTTAAATTTGCATATAACTGTTAGGAATAAAAGTTCAAATTCTTAGAAACTACTAGTGGTTAATTTACCACAGAAAAACTGTTAGTGGGATTTACTTTGGAGCAGGATTAAAAGAATGATTAGAAATACTGTGTATTTTAAATTCAGTCTGAAGCAAGTTAGTATTTCTACAGCTTATAGATAGAGTGATTGTATTCAAGTAAGTGAAGGTTTATGTACAACCTGTAAAACCAAAACTTGTTGGGGAGAAGGTGGGAAGTTAACACATCCCCTGAGAGCTTTTCCTTTGCTTTCTGTAGGTGATGGGGGTACAATGGAGCAGTTTCTTTATATCCTCCAACTTAGTAATTCTCTTACTCATAAGAAAGGACAAAATAAGTACCGTGATATACTACTTAGAGGAATTGATCTGCAGTCAAGTACATRTAGTTAGACTACTCTTAACCCAGCAAGGAAGTCATCAAGTTCTGGAAAGGTTCCATTAATTGGAATTGACAGAAATTTAGGTTCAACTGGGTGCAATTTCTATAATTGAATCTTCTTGGATGAACATGGGGAAAATCAATTATCTCAGCTTACAAAACTGAACTGCCCCATACCCAAGGCATTTAATGCATCCTTGCTAGCACCCTTCTCCCAACAAGTTTTGTATACCATATTGTAAAGAGTCAGAACAATGTAGAAATAGGATATTTAAGGAAAGACAGAAGAGCAGTTAACTWGTCAATTGAAGCATTCAGTTTTCTTTTTGGTTTATCTTAATTTTCTGCTCTGGGTTACTAAGATAAAAGATTTCTCTGTCCATGTAGTAATAATTTTAGTAATAATTATAACTCATCAGAGTTTGTAAGAAAATAAATAAACTTTATTCTTAAGGCATGAGAATTGGGACAATAGAGTGTGGATGATAGGACCTAAGGCGAGTCTTCTGGGAGGGAAGATAACGAAAAGTTGAGTGTTCTTAATCCAGAAAACTCCAAAATCTGAAACACTTTTGGTTGTAAGCAGTTCAGAAAGGAGATACTAAACCTGTGTTACAGGAGACTGTTATTTCCATTTTAGAGATGTGGAAATTGAGAAACAAAGCAGGTAAGTAACAAGCCTAAGGTCTGATAGTAAGCAACACAACAGGAATATAAAGCTTGATAATGGCTTTAGAGTCCATATACTTGGTGACTGTAATATAATTGCTACTCAGGGTAATTTATAAATGGGTAAACATTTATGAAAATAGAAGGAATTATTTTAAAAATATATCTATGTCTATCTATCTATATTTTAACATTTACCTGTTTGTTTGAGTGAACATGAATTTGTTTTTTCCCATTGGAGAAATTTGTTTTTCTGTGAGGGAAGCACGGACATTCTGAGGAGCCAGAGTCCCTTAATTTCAAGGGAAAAAAATGTTTCCCTGTGTCTTTTTTTTTCCTCTTTTAAAATGTTTAATAAAAAACATTATAGTTATACGTACTAGTGGGGTTCATTTTGACATATTCATAGATGCACGTAACACAGTTTGCTCCATTTCAGTCATATCCTCTTGTAAAGGAACTTGGCAGAAAATATTTTACTTTAATATCTATAGTTTTTTGGGTTTTGCTCTCATCCCTGATTTTTAAATTGTCACATTTTTCATATAAAGAGAAAGTTTTAGGGAATTAAGGTGGAGTGCTTTAGTTGTTTGAGCAATCATAATATCACAGGTTGGGTGTTTTAAGCCATAGAAATTTGTTTCTCATCAGTTGTGGAGACTGGGAATCCAAGATCAAGGTGCCAATTGATTGGGTTCCTGGTGGGGGCTCTCTTCTGGCTCGTGGACAGTAACTTTCTAGCTGTGTGTTCACATGGTCTTTCCCCAGTCGTGTGCTTACATGCTTCYGGTGTGTCTTCCACTTATAAAGGTACCAGCCCTATCAAATTAGGATCACACTGGTATGTGTCTTATTTAACCTTTATGACTCCTTTATGTTCTTCTAACTATAGTCATAATGGGAGTTAGACATTCAACCTGTGAATTCTTTTTTGGTGGTGGCAGGGGGAGGGTGGATAGGATGCAATTCAGTCCATAACAGTTGCCATTTTTGAGTAATGAAAAATATTCAACTAGCAGTTAGAAATGTAATATGTCTTTCTGCCACTTGGTGGTACTATAGTATAATAGAAGAAGCACTGTCTGAAAGCAGGAGACCATTAATTAAATCTTAGTTGAAAACCAGATTGTTACCCATTCTTCATAATAGTTTATTAATACTTCGCTTTTTAAATTTTCACTCATATTAATATGAAGGGAGAGATTTTTGTCCTGTTTTCTAACTACTATTACTCTTAGTTTGATGTCTTAAAACACTTTTCCCTTGCTTTTAAGGTATACAGTGATACCATAGGGTGCTTATCCTTATTTAAGTTGATAGTAAAGTTTTTTGGTTGTTTTGGGTTTTTTTATGTGTGTGGTGCCGGAGATTTAACCTAGAGCTTCACGCATACTACTAGGCAAATATTCTGTACGTTGAGCTACATCCCCAGCCTGATAGTAAAGTTTTTATTTGGGTTTTTATAGCATTCCTAGTTTTATTAATGTCAGTATTTCATTATATATGGTAGTGTGCTGTTGTTTTGTTATGCTGTAGCAGAATTCGAAACATTCTTGAGAGCTCTGTTTGTGGGTTGAKGTTCAAGAAGTGGTGGCAAACAAACTTCTCAAAAAGGTATGAGTCAATACCAGTGAAAAGCTAAGGGCAGTCATGTATAGTGGTTCCCAATCTTCTCTTAACTTTTGGTTKACCATTGTTAATAGGGTTCTTTCTGATCAGTTTTAGTGAAAGTAGAATAAGGGCAGAAATAGGAAAATAATGTTTTAGATATTGTTGAAAACAGGTGTTAGGAAAACCTCAAGTGTATTTTTGTTATTATGGTAAAACATCAATTGCTTTTGAGAACAGGCAAACCATACTTGGCACTTCACTTGTGGTCTCAATATTTTATAATTTTGCTTATTATTTGGCAAAACAACATCTTGTGTTGTGGTGAAGTTGACTGCGTTTACACAGATTAATTAATAGCATTTATATAGAGGAACTCTGATTTCTTTTCTTGTGGTAGGCTTATAGGATAAAGATTATAGGAAGAGCATTTCATTGTCTTTTTGCACTGTTGCTTGTTTGGGTAACGTTTTTTAACATTTTGTTTAGGTGGGTATTTTTATCTGATAAATTTTTTTGTGTGTGTGGTGCTGGGAATTGAATCTGGGGCCTTGTGCATGCAAGGCAAGCACTCTGCCAACTGAGCTATATCCCAGCCCCTATCTGATAACATTTGTTAAGTTAAAACTGTTCCATATTTCCAGGAAAATGCACTGTGTATCATAATGAAGGAATAGATTTTGATTTTCAGGATCTATGGTGTTTAGGTTTTTAATCTTTAGTATTTGTACATAAGGTCAGTCATTAAAACCTTTTCTTGGTAAATATTTTTTTAATACCTTTATTTGGTTTTTATGTGGTGCTGGAGATTGAACCCAGTGCCTCACATATGCGAGGCAAGTGCTCTACCACTGAGCCACAACCCCAGCCTTCTTGGTAAATATTTGATGAGAACAAATGTGTAATTTTGGAGGCAAATTGTCTTTATCATATAGAATAAAGGAGAAGTTTTGTCTTTGGCTTTTGTAGGGATGAAGGGAAAACTCCTTTGCTCGTTGAAAGTTTACTAGAATTAATTGACAACAGATTTAACAGGAGAAAAATATAAATTTATTTAATGTACATGGGGRAAATCACAATAGAGTGATTACCCACTAACTCTGTAAGGTTTAG